CTTTCTTTCTTTCGATTGAGACTAGTGTAGCCCAGGCTGGCATGAAACTCACAGTGATCTTGCCTCAGCCTGCCAAGCGCTAGGACTACACGCATGTTTCACCATGCCTCGTACTATTTAATTCCTTTTCTTTTTCTTTTTAAGTCATTCTGTGTTTGTATGAGTACAAGTATGCATGTGCTACAGCATGTGTTTGGAAGTCAGAGGACAACCTCAGGAGTCAGTCCTCCTCTTCTACCCCTTTGGAAACAGGGTTTCCAAAGTTCACCATTGCATATGCCAGGCTAGCTCGCCCTCAAGCTTCCTGTCTCTGCCTCCTACCTCTTCCTAGAAGCACTGGGATTATTTATATACATTAACACTGTACATGATTGATAGGCTTTCCACTTAGGTCCTTACACGTGTATAGCAAGCACTTTACCCACTGTGTCATCTCCCTAGCCTGATGTTTAATTCTTTGAAACATTCTTCATCCCTTTGTCTGGCTTTTGTCATCTGCTTTTCTGTGGTGTGCACCAACTTCCATATATTCCCCATTTATACTCTGTACACTAGGCATTTAGTGCCTTTCAGTTTCCTGTATGTTCTGTGTACTTGGACATTTTATCTTTCCTAGGACTAGAATTCTCTAGCTCATTCTGTTTAGAATTACTACTTCTTAGCCAGGAATGGTGGTGCTTTCCTTTAATCTCATCACTTGGGGAGAGGAGAGTGGGGCGACAGAGGCAAGCAGATCTCTGAGATCCAGCCCAGCTAGGGCTACAGGGAGTCCCTGTCTCAAAACAAAAGAATTAGAACTTCTTTCAGTCTGTTTATTATGTACCTAGCAAGATCAAATGATCCTTTGGAACCCAAATATTTCCTTTTCAGTTATAGAGTACTTGCCTAGCATGCTTAAGATCCTAGATTTTATCACTGGTGCTTCAAAAATTTAAAAATTCCTCTTATACTAAACCTCAAGTTTTTTAAATATTTTATTTCTTATTTTTATTTTATGTGTACGAGTGTTACGCCTGCCATGTATGCATATGCCTGCATGTGCACCATGTCGTGCAGTGCCGGCAGAGGTCAGAAGAAAGTCTTGGATCCCCTGAAACTGAAGTTAAGAATGGTTGTTAGCTGTCATGTGGTTGCCTGGAACCGAAGCTGGGTCTTCTACAAGAGCAGCCAGTACTCTTAACCACTGACCCATCTCTCCAGCCCCATCCTTAAGTTCTAATAAATTATCAGTTGCTTAAAATTTTTATGTAGTGTATAAAAATAACACATTTATGGGGTGTGTAAGAAAAAATATAAACCATTTTCAGTATTTTTATGTAATGTATCTTTTCATATTTATAACTTTATGTACAGAGCTCTCAATGAAATGTGGAAGTGTCAGAATATGCTTCGGAGTCATGTGCGTGAACTGTTGGATTTACACAAGCAGCCTACAGTAGGTTCATGATTTCTTTGGGGTTTTTTTGGTTTTGTTTTTGTTTATTTGTGGGTTTTTTTGGGGGGGGGGTCTCTTTGAGACAAGGTTTCCCTGTATCCCCAGTTGGCCTGGAACTTGCTATGTAGACCAGGCTGGCCTCAAACTCACTAAGATCTGCCTGCCTCTGCCTCCCAAGTGCTGGAATTAAAGGAGTGCACCACCATGCCTGGCAGGTTCATGATTTCTTTAAATTCACAGATTACAAATCAGCGTTCACTATCTATAGTGCAGTGTTATTATAATGATGTAAGGAAAATGTATCTCAAGGTGTTTTACTTTCCAAATGTGAGTTAAGCTAACTTAGTTTTCAGAGTTAAATTTCTGTTTCTTTGTTTTTTTGTTATTTTGGGGATTTTTTTGTTTCATTTTTCCAGACAGGCTCTCATACCATAGCCCAAGCTGGTCTGGAAATCACCATGTAGCCCAGGTTAGCTTCAAACTCTTGATAATTCTCTTTTCTTGGCATCTGATTCCTGGGAGTATATGCATGTATTAGTTACTTTTGTTATTGCCGTGATACCTAACAAAAGCAACTTAAGGAAGGGATTTTTTTTCTGGCTCACAGTTTGAGAGCACAGTCCATCCTAACTGGGAAGGCAGGGTGGCAGAAACATGGGACATCTGTCACATTTTTATCCCAGTTAGGAAACAGAAAGATGAATGTAGTGTTCTGATCACTTTCTCATTTATCTCAGGTATGAAATCCAGCCCATAGAATGGTACACCCACCGTTAGAGTGGCTCTTCCCTGCTCAGTTAACTCAATCTAGAATCTCCCTTCATAGACATGTGCCGAAACTTGCCTCCTTAGTGATTTGATATCCTTTTGACAATATTAACAGTAAATAATATTACCACAAACAGTAATGGTTCACAAGGCTTGAACCATTGCGCCTAGCAGAACTTTTTTTTTCCTTTTTTTTTTTTTTTCTCGGTCTTTTTGAGACAGGGTCTCCCTGTAGCCCCAACTGGCCTGGAACTCATTATGTAGACCAGGCTAGCCTCAAACTCAACAGAGATCCGCCTGCCTCTGCTTCCCAAGTGCTGGGATTAAAGGCATGCGCCAGCACACCAGGTGCAGAATTGTTATTTTAAATGACTATAACATTCATATTTGCTAGAATGGGTAAAGAATAGTGATATCTAGATTACCAATTGTTTACTTATTTGGTCCTTGGGATGGGGAACCAAGTGGTCTTTGATATGGAACCCAAGGCCTTGTGTGCATTGAGTATGACTCTGTCATCTAGCTGTACTCCCACGTACCAAATTTTTAAGTACTGAGAGTTTATGCATTTTCAAATACTTTAAATCAGGTTGCAAAATTATAATACATATAATATATAGCTCATATAACTTATGTTTATATATTAATATAGCCTAGATTCTTATTCCTTCAGTGTGGAGTTGATATGCTTTACTGTCATAATTCCAATGTCAAACTACCAAATTCCAAAGGGTTCTGGAAGGTTAAAAAAGGGAAACAAAATGTATTTCTCTTTGGATTCTTAAGTTTGCTTTCTAACCTAGGTGTTAGAACTACTGGATACTGGATAAGCCTCTCCTAAGCCCATGGATGCTAGAATAGAGATTGGCAACCTTTTTGTAAAACATGAAATAGTAAAGTCTTAATTTTGCTAACTATAGTCTCTGCTTAGCTACTGAAGTTTGTCTTAGTAGTGTAGACATAGGAAAAAAAGGCGCATAAACCAATGGATGTGACTGTTCCAACAAAAGTTTTTACTAATAAACAAGTTGCTCATTTGGATCTACTTGGGAGTTCCCACCTTCTTATTCTAATTATTCAAATTTAAGGAAATATTTTTTAGAGGAGAGTTTATTCTGAGTTTTTCAGAGGTAGGATCTCAGTATGTTGTCTAGGCTAGCTGTGAATTCCTGGACTTAAGTAATACTCTTGACTTCGACTCCCAAGTAGCTGAGATAGCAGTCAATGTGCCATTCCGTTCCACTCTTTTAGTGCCTTGCTGCTAACATCTCTTTTCTTTCTACTTAGTATTTGCTGCTTTTTCAAAGTTCTTTGCTAATAACCATATCAAGCCATTTTGAAAATTAGAAAATTTATAACAAAAGTAGTTACCAAGATTGATAATGATATCTCACTCAGCATACCCAACAAATGAGTCATGTTCATTTCCTTTCAATTCCTACTGAGTTAGGAAACCTAACTCTCAAAATCACTTCCCCAAAGCAACAATACCTATTGGGCTCTTGAAGAATACAAAATGATTCCTGCTACTTTAATACATAGAAAGTTTCCAGTGGTTTGAGTTGGATAATTTTTTTTTTTAATTTATGTGTATGAATGTATTGCCTGCATGTATGTAAGTGCACTTGTGTAGTCCAATGCCCACAGAAGTCAGAACAGGGCGTCAGATCCCCTGGAACTGGAATTAGGGACAGTTGATAGCCGCCGTATGGATGCTAGGAACTGAACCTGGGTTCTCTGTAAGAGCAGCCAGTGCTCTTAACCACTGAACTAGCCCCTGGGATTAATTTTTTTTTTTTTTTTTTTAACTAAGGAACATTATTCAGTAATAAGTTTTGGTTTCTCTTACAGAAATTTGTTAGTACAAATGACTAGTTCTTTTGTTTTATTTCAGTCAGAGGCCAACTGTTCTGCCATGTTTGGGAAACTGATGACCATAGCAAGTGAGTATGTTTATTCACTCCCCTAATGTAATAGATATTAAAACAGACCATTAGTTTAGTCACTGACACTTGATTATAATGAGAAGAAAAATAATCCTTAATTTTTTTTAAAAAAAGAACCATTTGGTATTAATACTTTTTTATTTTTTATTTTTTTATTTTATGTATATGCGTGTATTGCCTGCATGTAGGTAAGTGCATCTGTGTCGTGTAGTGCCCTCAGAGGTCAGAAGAGGCAGTCAGATACCCTGGGACTGGAGTTACAGGCAATTGTTAGGTGCCATGTGGGTTCTGGGATTCAAACCTGGGTCTTCTGCAAGAATAACCAGTGTTCCTAACTGCTGAGCCATCTCTCCAGCTCCCATTTGTTATTCTTTTAATGACTCAAATATGTTTTTAATTTTATTATTTTTATGTGTATGAGTGTATTTCTTGCATGTATATAAGTGCACCTGTGTTGTGCAGTGCCTCATAAATCAGAAGAGAGCATTGGATCCTCCTGGAACTGGAGTTGTTAGCTGCCATGTGGGTGCTGGGAATTGAACCCTGGTCCTCTGCAAGAGCAACCAGTGCTCTTACCAATACTTTAAAGACACTTTCTTTTAGTGTAGTCATCCTTCTTTAATAATATCTTTTCTCTTTTTATCCTATAGAGAATTTGCCTGACCCTGGGAAAGCACAAGATTTTGTAAAGAAATTTAACCAGGTTCTTGGTGATGATGAGAAACTTCGGTCTCAGCTGGAGTTGTTAATCAGCCCAACCTGTTCATGTAAACAAGCTGATGTTTGTGTGGTTAGTGAATTATACTTTTTATGGTTTTCTTTAATAGCTTACAGAAATCTGATTTTGTTACAGATTACTTATCTTGTGATTTTTTTTTTTTTTTTAAAACAGTAACTAAATAAGTTAGGGCTGGAGTTTTGTTTTTGTTTTTTGTTTTTTTTTTTTCTATAGCCCCAGCCATCCTCAGCTATCTATGTAGACCAGGCTGGCCTTGAACTCTACCTCCCAGTGCTGGGATTAAAGGCGTGCGCCACCACGCCTAGAAGGACTGCATCTTTATTCATCTAAATTCTCTTTATCTACTACTTAGTCTCCAGTCACATTCCAGGAAAGAATTAGTGGTCTGAGCCAGAGAGATTGGTCCTAGGAAATGACCAGGATAAATAGTTTCTGTTTAGTCCATATTCATTCACTGAATGAATTGCCAAGAATTTTTAAAATACTATGTTTCCCAACATTTTCTTCTCTTGTGTCTGAAAAAACTATATTTGATGTTCTTACAGTGTGATCTGTGAACATAAAACAGGTATTTTTTTATTCACTGTGGGGCTCTAAAGAGATGGGCATTTAAGAGGATATGTTACAGGACCATTTATTTAGAGATGAGCACTCTTGTATACTGAGTGTCCTAGTACTTTGAACTTGTGAGCTGAATAATTTGCTATTTAAAGGTTTCATGAAATTCTTTGGCATTTAGAATATTTAGAAGAATTATAAGTTGCAGGGAATCTACTGATATAATTGGATTGATACAAAGAAATAGATTGAAGTAACTATGAGATAACGGTTTAAAGTTTTGCACATAAAGCAATTGAACTGAGTGACATTTTTCATGCTATATTTCTTTTTTAATATTTTATTTATTTTTATTTTATGTGTATATTGCATGCATGTATGTAAGTGCACTCATATTGTGCAGTGCCCTCGGAGGTCAGAAGAGGGCATTGGATTCCCCAGGAACTGGAGTTACGGACAGTTGTTAGCCACCATGTGGATGCTGAGAATTGAGCCTGGGTCCTCTACAAAAGTAGCCAGCGCTCCTAAACACTGAGCCATCTCTCCAGCCCTTCATGCTATATTTCATAGGAAGGTATATTGGCTGAGCTGCAAGTAGAGCCTGTATCTCACAGATCCATGATAGTGTCATTCTCTGTAAAAACTAATACAGGCATTGGGGAGGTGGCTCAGTCGGTAAAGTTCATAAGAACTTGATTTCAATTCCCAGAACCTATGTTCTAAACAAAAAGAGAAAGATAAAAATCTAGATACAGTATGATGGTGCATGCACGTAATCTCAGTACTAGGAGACAGATAGGTAGGTCCCTGAGGGCACACTGTCCTAATCATGTTCATACACAAACATACACTACAAATCAAGTACTGCTCAAGAAAAACATACCTGGAATAAATTGGTTCTTTTGATATGAGAGAAAGCAGGAATATACACTGGGTTTGAAATCGGTGGCAATGGTATGAACTCTCTGATACATCAAAAATATCTAAGATGGGGGCTGGAGAGATGTCTCAGTGGTTAAGAACACTGGCTGTTCTTGCAGAAGACCCAGGTTCAAATCCCAGCATCCACACGGCAGCTAACAACTGTCCATAACTCCAGTTCCAGGGGATCTGACAGCCTCTTCTGTTCCTCCTTGGGCATTGCACGACACGGGCACACTTACCTACATGCAGGCAGTGCACGCATACACGTAAAATAAAAAATAAAATAAGTTTTTGAAAAAAATTTGTGTGTATGAGTGTTTTACCTACATGTATGTGTGTATATAAGTGCACCCGTGCTTGCAATGCCCATGGAAACCAGAAGTAGACACTGGATCCCATGGAACTGGAGTAGTTATTGTTAGCTGCCGTGTGGGTATTGGGAACCAAACCTGGGTCCTCTGGAAGAATAGCCAGTGTTCTTAACTGCTGAGCCATCTCTCTTCCCCCTAAGTTCTGTTTTTCATTTTATGTGTATGAGTGTATTGCCTGCATATAAGTGTACCCCTGTCATATAAAGCCTGTGGAGATCAGAAGAGCATCACATTCCCCAGAACTGTAGGTAGAACAGTTGTTAGCCACTATGTGGTTGCTGGGAATCGAACCCAGGTCATCTGCAAGAGCAACCAGTGCTCCTAACCACTGAGCCAACTCACCAGTCCTCTACTTTTTTTTTTTTGTCTTTTTGAGACAGGGTCTTTCTGTAGCCACAGCTGATCTGGAAAGAGTGCTGGGATTAAAGGTGTGTGCCACTGTTCCTGGCTATACACCTTTTTTTTAAAAAAAAAATAAAAAATCCAGATGTTTGTAACTAAAATCTTGAAATAGGCCTAGTGACCATGCAGTGCAAGCAGTCAAAGTTTCTGGTTTCAGGAATAAGGAAGGTTAGAAATAAAAGACTGTATTTGCACTGAAAAAGCATAATTGCAAGCTGAGCTTGGTGGCATGCACCTTTAATCCCAGCAGGAGTGGCAAAGGCAAGGTGGATCTCTGTGAGTTTAAGACCAGCCTGATCTATATAGTGAGTTCCAGGCCAGCTGGGAGCAGCAGGGAGACCCTGTCTCAAGAAGACCAAAAAAAGAACATAATAGGTGGGCATGATGATCCTAGTCTTTGGGAAGCTGTGACAGGAAAATTTCAGTAAGCTCAAGGCCAGTCTGGGTGACAAAGCGAGTTCCTGTTTTGTTTTTTAAAGTGAGGAGGGAGACCACACTCAGTGGGCAAAGATACTTATTATAAGCCAGATGACCTGAGTTTGATCCCTTGGACCCACATAGTGGAAGGAGAGAGCAGATTCCCTTGAGTTGTCCTCTGACACACCAATATTGGCACATGCACAGAAAATAAATACATAAATGTATTTTTTTTAACTTTTTATTTAATTTTTTTAATGTGTATGCGTGTATTGCCTACATATAGGTAAGTGCACCCATGTCATGCAGTGCCCGTGGAGGACAGAAGAGACTATCGGATCCCCTGGAACTGGAGTTACAGACAGTTGTTAGCTGCCATGTGGGTGCTAGGATTCGAACCTGGGTCTTCTGCAAGAACAACCAGTGTTCTTGACCACTGAGCTATCTCTCCAGTCCCCATAAATGTATTTTGAAAGTAAAAATAAAAACAAAAAACCTCAATCCAGAAAGAGTATAGAATTGGTTCTTTTCTCACCTTCATACGATCATGTGACATATATATTATTTAATTTATATCTGTGTAAAGTCAAATTTACCAGACCCTTCAAAAGTTTTTTTTTAAGTTATTTATTTCTGGGGGCTGGAGAGATGGCTCAGCAGTTAGGAGCGCTGGCTGATCTTCCAGAGGACCCAGGTTCGATTCCTAGCACCCATGTGGCAGTTAACAGTCCATAGCTCCAGTTCCAGAAGATCCAACTGGTCCTCCCTCTTCAGACCTCCTCAGGCACTGCAGGACACGGGTGCACTAATACACATGCAGGCAATACATGCATACATGTAAGATAAGATGAAAATAATAAATGAAAAAAATTTTTAAGTTATTGTACTTCTGTAATGCCAACCTTATCAAAGCAGAGAGAAAAGAGCTGCTGTCGGCCAGTATGTGTATGGGAGCCTTAATCAGGAGGATTGTGAATCTAAGGCTAACCGGGTTAATATAATATTATTAACACCCAAAATACTCCTTTTATGCAGAAAATTTTATTCTTATGCTTTTAGTTTTGTTGGTTTTTTTTTTTTTTTTAAGACAGGGTCTCACTAACTTTCTGTGTCTCCATAGATGGCCTTCAACTCCTGATCTTCTTCCCTCTGCCTCTGATTGTGGGATTTCCATTGGACTTCATCATGTCTGGCTTCCTGGGGGTGATTTCCATTTATTACTGCTGTGTGGTTTAGGAAACTCATTTAATATGCATTATCTCTATAACTAATAATATTATTGGACCATCAAGTTGATTCATCCTCTAAGCCTGACAACCTAACCTGAGTGCAGTTAGAATCTACATAATAGAAGGAAAGAATTGATTCCCTAAAGTTGACCTCCAACCTCCACACACCTAACATGGTGGCATGCATACTCACACATACACAAAATAATTAAATGTGAGAAACTTTTTAAAATTAGGTACACGTTCACTTATCAAAAATATTTTATTATGAGCCTTGTTGGTGTTTTGTTTTGCTTTTGTGGAAGTAGTCTTAGTAGGTAGGTCTCTCCCCCGCTCCCTCCTGTCCTCTCTCTCGGTCTCTCGGTAGCCGCAGCTGGCCTGGAATTCACCATATAAACCAGGCTGGCCTTGAACTCACAGAGATCTGCTGCCTCTACCTCCCAAGTGCTGAGATTACAGGTGTGCCCTAGCACACCCACAAGCCTTGTTCTTAATGTCTTTCCCCTTCCCAGGATATTGTAAATTTCATCTTATTTCTTGTGGAGTCAGTCTATAGTTGTCAAGTCCACATTTTATTTAGAAACTTCGAGCAAGAATGTTATTCTTTTTAAGATCAATTTAAAATAATGGCACTATCTTTGAACTTAAATTGAGGCAATCACTTTTACACATGGATTCATTGAATAGTCTGAAATAATTCTATGTTCATATTTTTAATTCTAGGAGACTATATGTTTCTATTATTAACTGCTTTTTTTTCCCCCAGAATTGAAAATCTTGGCCAAATATTTATCCACTTCTGAATATCATCTTTTTTCCCTCATTTTGCTTTTTTGAATATTTTTATTATTTTTCATTTTATGTGTATTAGTGTATTGCCTGCGTGTATATAAGTGTTTCCATGTCATACAATGCCCATGGAGGTCAAAAGAAGGCTTCAGATTCCCTGGAACTGGAGTTATGGGTGGTTGTTAGCTGCCATGTGGATGCTGGGAAGCAAACCTGGGTCCCCTTGAAGAGTAGCTAGTTCTCTTAACCATTGAACCATCTCTCCAACTCATATCTTTTGCTTTTTGAGACCAGATCTCATTATGTTTCCCAGGCTGCTCTGAAACTCCTGGGCTTTAAGCTTCTTGAACTTTCAGAGTAGCTGAGACTCTTGTGCATGTTCCACTGTATCTGACTTAAATGTTCCCCTCTTTTTAAACTTTTTATTAACTTTATGTTTAGGGGAGAGCATGTGAAGATAGTATACCTACAGTCATTCTTACTTTGAAAAATGCTCAAGTGGATCATTCTTACAGTAAAACTTTTTCCTTTTATAGAGAGAAATAGCTCGGAAACTTGCAAATCCTAAGCAGCCAACCAACCCTTTTCTAGAGATGGTCAAATTTCTGTTGGAAAGAATTGCTCCAGTGCACATTGATTCAGAAGCCATAAGGTAAGCCAGGAAATGTGCAGTAAAAACAAATGCAAATCCAAAGAGCAAGGTTGTAAACTTCTGAACATAAAAATATTAAAAATAGCTGCTGTATACTCTTTTTAAAAGTAGAAGTGTACATACTATTCAAGTGGAAGTGTTTCTCTTTTGCTAACTTTGGCTTTCTTTAATGCCTTCTATTTATTTTTTTATATTTTTATTTTATATTTACTTTTTGGTCTTTTTGAGACTGAGTCTCCCTGTAGACACATCTTGCCTAGAACTCACTACGTAGACCAGACTGACCTCAAACTCACAAAGATCCACCTGCCTCTCTGTCTGCCAAATGCAGGGATTAAAGAAGTTTGCCACCACACCCAGCCTTGATTATTAATGCCTTTTATTATTTGAGTTCTTTTATTTATGATTAAACACTATGTGCTCATTAAAAAATCCTAGAACACCAAAAAATGTAGAAAAAAATTTAATTCTGTATGGTTATCTATCAATATCTGAGTTTCGTTAAGCATTTTAATGGTCACGTGAAATTCTGTTCTATTTTATAACTTCATTTGATATGTTGGAACAGAGTGGCATATGGCAAAGAGGACAAGATTTGCCATTAAATGAATAAGATTTGAAACACAAGTCTACTTTGGTTCTGGAAAAAGTCCTAATTTATCTGGATATTCATATATTTTCAATGTTCCTATGTATAGAACATCTTGTTAGATTAAGAGAATCAGAGATTAAAAGTAAGCAGTGCAGTATAATAGATACTAATTGATATTGAGATTTTGTGGGGAGGGGTTCTTTTTGAGACAGGTCTCCCTGTAGCACCAGCTGGCCTGGAACTTACTATGTAGACCAGGCTGGCCTCAAACTCACAGAGATCCACCTGAGTGCTGAGATCAAAGGTGTGCGCCACCACGCCCAGCTCGTTTGCTATTTTTAAAAAATATTTATTTATTATTTTTATGTGAATGAGTGTATTGTCTTCATGTATGTGAGTGCACTCTTGTCATGTGCCATGGTCAGAAGGGGGCTTCAGCTTCCCCTGGAACTGGAGTTAAGGACAGTTCATAGCTGCCATGTGGGTGCTGGGAATTGAACTTGGGTCCTCTGTAAGAGCAGTCAGTGCTCTTAACCATTGAGCCTTCTCTCCAGCGCCTATGACTGCTATTTTTTATAAGAAAAGGAGAATGGGACACAGTTGTCTTGGGAACACAAAGAAAAGACCATGTGAGAATATAGTGAGAAGCTGGCAGCTGTCTAGAAGCCAAAGAGAAAAGCTTCAGAAGTCAAACGTTGCTGTTATATAGACTTCTAGCTTCCAGAACTATGACAAAATGAAGTTTTATTGCTTAACCTTCCCAGTCAATGGTATTTTGTTATAATAGGACCTGAAACTATACAACAAGCCTTGTAATACAAGCACAACAATGATTCATGTAAGTGAATCTCTCTGCCTTCCTTTACCACTACCACACCCCGGGCACATTCACATGCTAGGAATTGAACTCAGGACCTCTTGAATGCTAACTGCATGCTCTGCTATTGAGCTTACCCCTGGTCCTCTACCATCACATTTTAATGGGCTAGGTACAAGATAATATAGTGTAGTAGAAATAGGCACTGTTGCCTGTGCATATTAACTATGAAAGAGACGTGTAATAGCATCAGGAACTCAAGGGCTCCGTGAAACCTTACAACTTCGTTACTTTAGGAAATTATAAACTATCATTTGATCCCATGTTCAAAATCTAAAATCTAAGTTTGTTAATTGGTAGGGTTTTTGGTGTTTGTTTGGTTTTAATAGCATCATGAGTTATTTGATCTCAGATACGTATCCTGGTTAGGAGATCTCAGGCTAATTATGTAAGAATTCCAGAATGTAAATTTTTGTGAGAAAACGGTAACTCATATATTTATTTAACCAAATAAATCTTCATGAAATTATAATTTATAAATAGGTTTATTATTTTAGCATAGGTTTTTAAAGGGGCATGAGGAGGAGTGCTATTTGTAAAGAATATTGAGTAAGGAAGGAAGAATACTAACATAACCCAAACTGTGTGCATGGGTGTGTTGCTAGAGAAGGTCCAAAACAAACAGCCCATCTGATGGTCGGTAAAAAGAAGTGGGAATACAGGGATCAGGCAGGTGAGAACTACAGGGAATATAGTCTAGGTCACTCGACTTGACTGGATTGCTTAGGTGCTCTGAACTTCAGTTTCCAGGCATTTAAAATAACAGTGATGATAATTACTTATTAAAGTTATTGAGGGTCTTACATAATATACAATGTAGCACTTAACATTGTTATATCTCATGTGTATTAAGTGCTGACAGAATGTAGTTATTTTAGGGGAAAAAATAACAAAAAGGCAAAAATGAATTAAGTATTTAGATGGGGCAGAGATAAAGCTCAGTAACAGAACACTTGTGTGAGTGTATATAAGAGAGAGACTTGCATGTAGTTCAAAAATAGAGAGGAGATTCTAAATTATTTATATCCTTTCTAAAATATATTTTGTTTATGAGTTTTTTGCCTTTATGTATATATGTGTACTATGTGCCTGCCTGGTGTCCATGGAAGCAACAATAGGGCATCAGATCCCCTGGAACTGGAGTTAAAAATTGTGAACCACCATGGAAACAAACCTAGGTCCTCTGGAAGAGCATCTAGTGTTCTTACCTGCTAAGCCATCTCTCCAGCCCTTTGGTCTTTTGAGGCAGGGTCTCAGTTTGTGTCCCAGGCCGGACTTGAACTTGTGATTACCCTCTGAGTGCTGTGATTATAGATGTGCACCACCATGAACAACTTACAATGTAGGATTTTAAAAGAAACGCTTGAAAACAGCAGAAAAATCACCCTACTTATAATTGTTCCCCCTGCCCCTGACTTAAGTATATATGAATTAAACTTGTACATACTTCAAGTTAATTGAAATTATAAGCTGAGTGTGGTGGTGAGTGCCTTTAAACCCAGCACAGGCAGGTAGATCTCTGTGAGTTCAAGGCCAGCCTGGTCATAGGGAGTTCCAGGCCAGCAGGGGTTATAGGGAGACCCTGTCTCAAAAAAAAAAAAAAAAAAAAAAATACAGTAGTCATTGTGATAATTTGAAACCCAGGAGAGGGAGTAAAATGAAAATGGAGGCTGCACAGAACTTTAAGGAAGTTTAACAATGACTTTACAAAAGAAGGAATTCAACAAGCTTTTTGAAAATTGTATTTATTTGGAGGGTGGTAAGTGTGTACTTGACATAGGTTTTGAGGTTGCAGGACAACAACTTTCAGGAATTGATTTTTTTGGTGGGTGCGTTCTTTTTGGCCTTGAATTCACAGAGATCCATCCATCTCTGCCTCTCCAGTTCTTGGATTAAATGCCTATGCTACCTGCCTGGCTAGGGATTGATTCTTGCCTTCTGCCATGTGGGTTCCAAGTATCAAACTCCAGTCATGAGGCTAGGTAGTAAGTTCCTTTACCAAGGAGCCATCTCTCCTGCCTCACTGTCTGTTTAAGGATAATCTTTTTAGATTCTGTGTATACTTGACATATTTCAATTGAGGATGCAGTTACTAAGCTAGCAGTCTTACTAACTTACATTTTCTTCTTTTAATAGTGCACTAGTAAAATTGATGAATAAATCAATAGAGGGGACAGCAGATGATGAAGAGGAGGGTGTAAGTCCAGATACAGCTATTCGTTCAGGACTGGAGCTTCTTAAGGTATTTTTGAAACAATTTTATCTCCATTTGTTACTATAGAATCACAATGGTATTCCTTTCAGGATAAGTAAGAGGAAGTTTATTTCACTTTAAATTATTTACATAATTAAAATGTTGTGGTAGAAATCCCATCTTGTTTATTTTTTGAGTTAGAATCTCATGCTATAGCCCAGTCTGACTTTGAACTTTCATCTGTCCTGCCTCAACCTGCCAACTACTGAGATTATAACCACCATGTCTGGCTAGAAATCAGATCTTACAAAAATAGGTTTTACATCATAATGTAATTGTTTTACAATATAAAATAATATTTTTTTGCTCTGCTGTTTTAGTTCATTGTTTGCATTTCTGTTGTTTAGTATCTCTTATGCTAAATTATCTAGTCTTTCAAAGAGACCATATCTGAAACTTTTGACTATCAGTGATTGGCCATTTGAAAGGTATTCGTAATTATAATCTCAAGCTTTGTTAGGTGACTAAAGCAAATGGTTACTTTCTGGAATAGTGGAAAGAAATTTGTTTACAAATTTTCAACTGTCATTGGGGCAGAATAATATTGTCAGGGAGTTTTAACCTACCTTTGTCAGGCTACAACACTAGATAGAGCTTTTGCTGAATTGAATAAAAAGAATAAATTGAGGCAGACACGTTTTAAAACCACAGTAAGACAACAGACCTGGCTGACTTTGATCTAACAAAAGAAATCCACTGGCCTTTGCCTTTAGCATGCTGGGATTAAAGGTGTGCACCACAACCCCACCCAGCCCAAAGGAATTAGTTTACAGTGCATAATTTTTTTTTTTTTTTTTTTTTTTTTTGAGACAGGGTCTCCCTATAGAACAGGCTGGCCTCAAACTCACCAGGCCCAGCTACAGTGTATAATATTTTATCGCTTCACTTTTAGCCCTTGTATCTGAAAAAGGCTAACCAAATCATTTCCACTCTATAAAAGATAAAAGATGTAACCATGTGTCTTTTTTTATTATTCTTTTCTTTTTTGGGGGGGGGGTCTTTTTTGACTTTTTTGAGACAGGGTCTCCTGTGGCCCCAGCTGGCCTAGAAGTCACTACATAGACCAGGCTGGCCTTGAACTCACAGAGATCCACCTGCTTCTGCCTCCCAAGTGCTGGGATTAAAGGTGTGTGCCACCATGCTTGGCATAATCATGTCTTATATAATTTGCAGTAAATTCCTTAAGGATAAACTGGGTAGGGTTTATTTATAACAAATAAGGTAATAATTGTATATTTATAATTAAAATTCACACAGATGGCTTCATTGTTGATAGTTATATGTGTACTTTGATTATTTTACAAAACAATACGGATTATCTTTTTCACAGCTTTGTGTGTTTACATCACAAGGATTGAGTCATTAAGCCTAGAGTTTCAAGTAAATATTCCTTTATTCAAGTAAATATTTAGAAGTAGAATATTTGTACCAGCCTGATCTACATAGGGAGTTCAGGACAGCTGGGGCTACTCAAACCAAAAAGAAAAAAAGGTATTTAATTGTGTCTTGTCAGCTGGGCATGGTGGTACACACCTTTAATCCCAGCACTCTGTGAGTTCTAGGCCAGCTAGAGCTACAGGGAAACCCTGTCTCAAAAAAAAGGGGGGGGGGTTAATTTTGTAATATCACACTCTATGGAGCAATTCTTCATTCCAAGTAGCAGTATTAAGAGATGGTGAAGTAAATTGGGAAAGCAGTATTTATCGGTTTGTCTTAGGGGGAGGTACTTGGAAGCTGATGTATCATAGACACAGTTAGCTGCAGTGTGGCTAGGAGATATAATCTGTGTTCCTTGTTGTGTAGCTGGCATATGTACACCAGAATTTTACATTCTGTTTCTTGTAAACAATAGTTCTCCTTTTTAAATGGATTAGAACTACTGTCTATACTCCTAAAGGTGTATCTATTCCTCCAGGTTCTGTCTTTCACACATCCTACCTCGTTCCACTCTGCAGAGACATATGAGTCCTTATTGCAGTGCCTAAGAATGGAGGACGACAAGGTAGCAGAAGCTGCAATACAAATTTTTAGAAATACAGGCCACAAAATAGAAACAGATCTTCCTCAGATACGATCGTGAGTATATATTTTACATGGTAAATAAAGGTTTCTGTGTGGGGAGCAATAAAATCATTGTTTCTCTTTCATAGAAGAAGATGAGAGGAGAAAGAAAACTTCATTAATGTGTACTCTTTCGGCTCCTCTTATTTTGTCTATTCCCTGTCTCACCCCACCATGTATATAGATGAAAAAAGTGTAAGTGTTTGCTTATAAGAAAATGCCTGCCTGATTAAAAAAGAATTATTGTAATCATATTCTTTAAAAGGGTACACATTTTAAAAATCACCATTGATTTTAGTTTTCCTATATCTTTCATGGAAGAACAGATGGTAGAGTTACGTTTACAAGCAATGAAATAAAAAATTCTAGGGCCTGGAGAGATGGTTCAGCAGTTAAGAACACACTGACTGTTCTTACAGAAGACCGGGGTTCGAATCCCAGCACTCACATGGCAGCTAACAACTGTCTGTAACTCCAGTCCCAGGGGATCCAGCAGCCTCTTCTGTCCTCCACAGGCATTGCATGACATGGGTGTGCTTACCAGGCAATGCACACATATAAAATAAAAATAATAATTTTTTTAAATGCCTTAAAAATATAAGTAATCAAAAGTTATCACAGAACTTACTATTTTGTATTTCCATGCTTAATGTATCTTATCCATGTATGGGTTTTTTTCTTTCTAATTTGCTATAAATTCAGTATCTACCACTTTCCTATTTCATAAAAAAAGATAGGACAAAAAAGTGCTTTTTTCCATAGAATATAAAATATGTATTAGTTGCTTAGTAATTGGGGATGACACTACTCATAAAGTACATTTTATTTGTTAGGTATTTTAGGATTAAGCTTATGAGGGTAGGTTTTTGGTTTTTTTTTGTTTTTATTCCCAAATAAATATACATGTGAGACATTGTGGAAGGACATGTTGCTAGTATCTACTGTATCTGATGTTCATCAGATGTGCAAGTAGTTTTTCATATATCCGACAAACAAGTTCTCCTTAGTGTAATAGTAGGACAAGTGGACTCCTGAAGTTTGTATGAAATTTAATTTGTATAATACAGAAGGAATACCTGGTCAGCCCCTATATTCAAAGAGATAATATTGTTTATATTTGTGTGTGGTTACACACACACACACACACACACACACAAATAAAATAAAATAAATTGTTAGTCCCAGGCTTGGTGGTACAGTTCTAAAAATCCAGGCCAACCTGGGCAGGTAAATGAAACTGTGTCTCAGAAAGTAAAAAACAGGGACTGGAGAAATGGTTCAGCAATTAAGAGCAGTGGCTGCTCTTGTAGAAGACCCAGTTCAGTTCCCAGGAGCATATGACACCTAACAACCATCTATTTATCCAGCTCCAGGGAAATCTGATGCTCTCTTCTGGCCTTCTCGGGCATTGTACGACATAGGTGCACTTGCAATACACTCATTCATATTAAAAAGTAAAAAAACAGGCTGTAGAGATCACTCAGGTTATGAGCCCTGGCTGCTCTTCCATAGGTTTTTGGTTCCCCACGTACCTCAGTGGGTGAGCACTTTCCTATCTGGCATGAGAATCTGGTTCAGTCACTTGTGCACACAAAAGAGAAAGATCACTGACAGGATAAAATTTATGCCAGTGTTTTTTTTATTGTTGTTGTTGTTTTTGGTGTTTTTGAGACAGGGTCTCCCTGTAGCCTCAGCTGTCCTGGAACTCACTATGTAGACCAAGCTGGCCTCGAACTCGAAGAGATCCGCCTGCCTCTGCCTCCCAAGTGCTGGGATTAAAGGCGTGCACCACCATGCCCAGCTATGGCAGTTTTTTAAAAACTTTTGTTTATTTATTTTATGTGTATGAGTATATTGCCTGCATGTCATGCAGTGCCAAAGAGGTCAGAAGAGGGTTTTGGATTCTGGAATGTTTTTGTTTGCTTTGTCGTTGTTGTTGTTGTTGTTTTTTTTAATGTGTATGCATGTATTGCCATGAAGAGAAACTTGAGGCATATTCATAAACATTATATCAGACTTACACTTAGTATTTATGTTCTAGATTTTTTTTTTTTTGGTTTAGAGGTATTGCCTGTGGTTATCACTATTGAGGTCTAATTATAAATTAACCTCTTTTGTGTCACCCTTGCATTTGATATCATCAATGTTTTGGTCCATAAAATAGGACATTTTCTAATTGTGTTAAATGTATTTTCCTATAAATTTTTGTTCATGTATAGATTTTCATGTGATCATAAAATTATTTGTTCTTTATAAAAAGCTTAAATTAGGGCTGGGTGTGTGGCTCAGTGATAGAATGTTTACCTAGCATGCATAAGGCCCTGAGTTTTATCTCCACATACTCTTTTGCCATATTGTTAGCATTGACCACTTTATTATTATATATTTCCATATTGTCTTATGGAAAGACTTTTCATTTAATCTTTGTCCTAGTTTGTTCTTCATTGTTGTGACAAAATACTCTGACCACTACCAACTAGGGGAGGAAAGGGTTTATTTAGCTTACATCTCCCGGGTCACAGTTCATCAGGGAGCCCAAGGTAGGAACTCAGGGCAGCAACCTGGAGGCAGAAGCTGGAGCACAGGCCATGGAGGAACATTGCTTACTGGCTTGTTCCCCTGGCCCCTGTTCAGCCTGCTTTCTTATGCAACACAGGCCCACCTGCCCAGGGGTGGCACCACCCACAGGGGATGGGCCCTCCCACATCACTCATCAAGAAGATACCCCTCAGACATGGCCACAGTCCACTCCAATAGAGGAAATTCCACAATTGAGGCTCCCTCAACCCAGGTGTGTCAAGTTGACACTAAAGCTATCCAGCACAATCTTCCATGATAGCATAGTGATAAAATGCATTGATTTCCCCCCCCCTTAAGTGAATTCTTGTTTTGAACACTCAGCTTTACCTTTTCCTACCGCTCTTACCTTTTATAGTTTAAATACATCTTTATGCTTTAGTTTTCTTATCTGTACTGTGGCTACAGTTTACGAACATTAGTTGAATTAATTGCTGTAGAAACACATCGAATGGTAGCTGGCATATGTAATAGACGATTCTTAGAAACCTTTAGTCTCATTTGACCAAACTGTTGTTTCTGTATCTGTGCATACTCACTTTCACTGGCATCATTTCAGCTGTTTAATAAAACTTGGCCTTTTGCTACTGTTTTTCCATGGTACTTTGAAATAACTAAAGGGAATTATAAAAGGTACTGACAAATTAGAAATATCTGCTTAGAAGGTAAATATGAACTTAAACCCTGGGGCAAGTTGTAGATTATAAATTAAGGATGGCTTGTTTGTTACTTTTCCATGTTCATGAGCTAGTATTAAAATGAAAATTATAGCCGGGCATGGTGGCGCACACCTTTAATCCCAGCACTTGGGAGGTAGAGGCAGTCAGATCTCTGAGTTCAAGGCCAGCCTGTTCTACATAGTGAGTTCCAGGTCAGCTGGGGCTACAGGGAAACCCTGTTTCAAAAGGTCAAAAAAAAAGAAAGAAAGAAAATTGTTTGTTCTAAATAGACTTTAAAGTATTGTATTTAATTATTTATTTACTTTTAAATTTTTTATTATTTTTATTGTATATGTATGCATGTATTGCCTGCATGTAAGTAAGTGTACCCGTGTTGTGCAGTGCCTGAGGAGGTCAGAAGAGGCTGTCAGATCCCCTGGGACTGGAGTTATGGATAATTAGCTGCCATGTGGGTGCTGGGATTTGAATCCGGGTCTTCTGCAAGAACAACCAGTGTTCTTAACTGCTGAGCCATCTCTCTAGGCCAGTATTGTATTTTAAACTGGGCGTGGTGGCACAGGCCTTTAATCCAAGCACTCAGGAGGCAGAGGCAGGGGGATCTGTATGAGTTCAAGGCTAACCTGGTCTACATAGTGAGTTCCAGGTCACCTGGGGCTATAGAGAGACCCTGTCTCAAAAAGAAAAAAAATAAAATAATAAAGTATTCTATTTCTTGGTTTATACTTTGAGACAGAGAGTACCCATATTTTAAATATTTCTATAAATTAGATAAATTCTTATTTTTTTATTTTTTTATTTATTTTGGTCTTTTGAGACAGAGTTCCCCGTATAGCCCCAGCTGGCCTGGCACTTGCTGAGTAGACCTGGCTGGCCTGGATCTTACAGAGATCCTCTTGCCTCTGTCTCAGGATGCTGGGATTAATGGCATGCCCCTCCACACTTGGCAGATAAATTCTAAGGAAACCTTCTTCTAGCACATATCCAACTAAATAGGGGCAGTGGGGAGCAAGAAAGATACATAGGGCTATGTGTACTTAAAGAAATATAACTAAATTATTATTTTTTTGCAGGACCTTAATTCCCATTTTACATCAGAAAGCAAAGAGAGGTACTCCACACCAAGCAAAACAGGCTGTGCATTGTATACATGCCATATTCTCAAATAAAGAAGTCCAACTTGCACAGATTTTTGAGGTATATAAAATTGGTGTTTTTTTGTTTTTTATCTCTGTGAATTGATAAAGGTAGAATCTGGGTTTTTTTCTATGTAGTCATACATTAATGTATGATTTCCTTGAGATAATTACCTATTCAGCACTGTATTTTCAGCCTCTAGTCAAGTTTAAGTATTTCATATTGGAGGATGTTTTGTATGTGTGAACATTCTTATTGGGGCAGGGGGGTTTCTGAGACAGGCTGGCCTCCAACTCACAGAATTCTGCCTGCCTCTGCTTCCTAGGTGCTAGGATTAAAGGCATGCACCACCACTGGCCCTAGAACCTTCTATTTATGGTAGTTTTATCCACCCTGGCCAGTTTATCTTTACAGATTGTTAAAAGATAGCAGACCTGCCACATTTAAGGGCCTAACTACCATACCTGAATATTAAATCCTCTTCCTTCTAGGAAGGCATTCCTTTTACTTATTGGATATGGTATGAACTCCATGAATTCTTTTAATAATGTCATTTAAAATGCTGTCTCCGGATAAGAGATCACCAATCTAACAAATGCATATTGGGGAACAGAATAATAGTCTTGATTCTACCTCTCTTATTTGTGCTCATGTTTCCCCTTTTGGTCTTTTTGAGACAGGGTCTCCCTGTAGCCACAGCTGGCCTGGATTCACTATGGGGACCAGACTGACCAGGAACTTACAGAGATCCGCCTGCCTCTGCCTCCTAAGTGCTGAGGTCTACCATCACACCCAGCTCAAAAAACTTCTCTAGAATATTATAAAACTAACTGATAATTTTTTTTTGTTTTTGTTTTATTTTCATAGCCACTCAGTAGGAGTTTGAATGCCGATGTACCAGAACAACTTATAACTCCATTAGTTTCATTGGGCCACATTTCTATGTTAGCACCAGATCAGTTTGCTTCCCCAATGAAATCTGTAGTAGCAAACTTTATTGTGAAAGATCTACTAATGAATGACAGGGTAAGTTTTTCATTTAGTTAAATTATGGATCATGAGATTAAGACTATCCTCACCCCCTTTTCCTTTCCTTTCTTTCCTTCCTTCCTTTCTTTCTTTTTTTTTTTTTTTTTTTTTTTTTTTTTTTTTTTGGTCTTTTTGAGACAGGGTTTCTTGTAGGCCCAGCTGGCCTGGAACGCACTATGTAGACCCGGCTGGCCTTGAACTCACAGATATCCACCTGCCTCTGCCTCCCAAGTGCTGGGATTAAAGGCCTGTGCCACCACACCTGGCAACTCTTGTTCATCTTTATCACAAAAACATTTCTTTTTGTCTATCTGAATTCTGTGTGTACATGTGCTCATGTGGGTGACTGAGTGCAAAGGGTTAAATTTAGGCACATGCTTTATTTGTTAGGTCTGAGGTGATGGATCTACCTGTTACCCCAATCTAACCATTTCTCTCTGTATATATATCTTGTTCCCAATTAATATAATAATTATTTGGCAATTTAAAATTACATAGGCCGGGCGTGGTAGCCCATGCCTTTAATCCCAGCACTTGGGAGGCAGAGGTAGGTGGATCTCTGTGAGTTAAAGGCCAGCCTGGTCTACATAGTAAGGTCCAGGACAGCTGGGGCTACAGGGAGATCCTATCTAAAAAGACCAAAAAAAAAAAAAAATTACAATGGGTTTTTTGTTTGTTTTTTAAATTTTTTTTGGTCTTTTTGAGACAGGGTCTCCTTGTAGCCCCAGCTGTCCTGGAACTGGCTATGTAGACCAGGTTGGCCTTGAACTCACAGAGATCTGTCCGACTCTGCCTCCTGAGTGCTGGGATTAAAGGCGTGCACTACCATACCCCAAACAATGTATTTTTTAAAGGATCTATCAACAACCAGAAATATGTCCGAAATAGCCTAGTGTGGGTTTTTTTTTTTTTTTTTTTTTTTTTGTTTTTTTTAAAGATGCCTTTGAAGATGGAGTCAGAATCTGTTTGAGTTTGCAGGGGAAGTTTGATTGAAGGAAAAACTTTGCTGAATGCCTTCTGAGGACCACAATATAAAGGAAAATTTTAAGGTCTTGCCCTTGAGTAAAATCATTGCAACGGGAATACAGAGCAGTTGACAAAGAGCTGTGATGTTTGTCTTTATTGTTGGAGCGAGTACACGCAGCTCGGTGGCGGAAGGAGACAGCAAAAAGATAAGGCTCCTGAGCGTCCTCATGTATAGACTTTGAGTCTCCTTTAGTGCTCCATTTATATGTCACTTGTTTTTAAGCCTTCTCCAACCACCTCAAAAGATTTGTTTTCTTGTAATGAACCATTCTGCATGTTCCTTATGTAGTTGTCACACTGATCAAGCAGAATTTATTATTATCACAGTATCAAATAAGGAAAAAAACAGGTGGTGTGAGTTCTATTAAAATGTAAAAAGCTTGAGATTTTGTGCATGGATCTGTGTTTTAGCCATGAAATAAGCGGGGACTGGGAAAGGGTCACTGCCTTCTACTAGCTCTTTCCCGTCTTCCAAATGGCATCATCACAATATGTGAAAAAGTCAGGCCTGGAACTCACTATGTAGACCAGGCTGGCCTTGAACTCACAGAGCTCCGCCTGTCTCTGCCTCCCAAGTGCTGGGACTATAGGCGTGCTCCACCACACCGGGCAATAAGATATTCTATATAAATAATAATATAAGATTTGCCACTTTTAGTACATAATTCTCTCATGTATACATCCTCACTATTGTCTAGTCACCATCATCCATCTCCTGATACTTTGATTTTTCATTCATTCATTCATTCATTCATCTCTCTTTGTAGTTTTGACTGTCCCGGAATTCACCATGTCTAGGCTGGCCTGGAACTCAGTCCCTTTCTGGCTCCCAAGGCATGTACCACCACACCTGGCCTAAAATTTTTTTTTACTACATTCATTTATTTAGTTGGAGGGGTGAAGGAACAGGCCACAATGTGCATGTGGAGGTCACAGGACAACTTGTGGGCCCTAGGGGTCAAACTTAGGTGGGTAGGCTTGGCAACAAGTGCCTTTACCATCCCACCTGATCTATTTTTTTTTTCATCCCAGATAGAAATACTGTTCTGACTATTGAACAGTTAACTCCAGTTCTCCCTTAACATAGTCCCTCAGAGCCTCTGCTCTACATTATGATTATGAATTTACTCTAGATATCTCTTATTGTATAATATTTGTCTTTTTATATCTGGCTTGTTTCATTTGGTACCTTCTCAAGGTTCATCTACGTTTAGTATTATTCAGAATTTAATTTGTTTTGTAGCTGATAAAAGTCATGTAGTTTTGGTTGGTTGGTTGTTATTGTTGAGGTGTCAGTTTTTGGTGTTTGAGAAGTGTCTCATATAGCTCAGACTGATTTCTCAGTCTCTTAGCCAAGGCTGGCCTCTACCTTCATTGGCCTCCCAAATGCTGGGATTAGAGGCATATATCACTGAATCAGCAAGATTCATATATTATGGATATTAAGCCCTCCTTAAGTATTTTCTAAATCTAAGATTTTCCCCTTTATTGTCTGCCAAGAATTTATTTTACCTCTAAAGTTATCTTCTTTATTCATTTTTAGGTAATGTTTCTAAGTGGTATCACAGTCCAGTATCATTTCTTTTTTCACTTGTCAATATCCAGTTTTCACAACATTTGTTGAGAAAAAACTGAATTCTGCCCAGTAGCTTTGCTATAGATTTTCCCTACATTTCTTACTATGGGTGAGAAACTTCATAATCAGAAACAAAATTTTTCCTAGTAAAAGCTAAATTTCTTTACTTACCTATAGTCAACAGGTGAGAAGAATGGAAAATTATGGTCTCCAGATGAGGAAGTTTCTCCTGAAGTACTAGCAAAGGTAAATTTGATAAGCCTTTTGTTTTGTTTTTTTTTAAAAAAGGAATAATACTTACAGGTATCCTGGGTTTTTTAACTTAACAGTTAATAACCATTATTTAGTTAGATGTTTTATTTAAAAATTCATACCTAAAAAATTGTTTCTCAAAAACATTGTAGTTGGAGTGTGTATATGTGCAGGGGAATGGTGGTGAGAATTTACCCCAGGGCCTCACAAATGCTTTCCCACTGTTCTGCTACTAAGCTACACCCCTAGCCCTTTCCTTATATATGTCATTATCATCAGACTGCTAAAACCATCTCACTGAGTCTGGTTTACACAGAGACTGTAGAATGTCTGATGTGCTTAGCTACATGCCTTATCTAACCTAACCACCACAATAAAATTCATTTGGGAAAGATAGGTGATTTGTACCAAATTGATGGATCTAATAAGTGTATGTTAAACTTGAATTGTTAACTTTTTTAAAGTAATAGACTTGCAATTAAAAATAATAAAAGATTATTTCATCTTTAATAATTTGTTTTCTTTCATAGTCATCGGTATTTTATCCATTTTTTTCCAGGTTGCCATTAAATATAAATAATATTTAGAGCCTTTGGCTAGGTGGTCTTCACATATATTGATAACAGTCCTTTGAGTAGATACCTGCAAGTAATTAAGAACACAAGTAATTACGTAAGCTTCAAAGGTTTAGGTAGGAGTTTAAGGTGAACTAGATTTGATTCCTTATACAGTTTTTCAGTAAACAAAAATTTGAAAGTCCGGGACTGGAGAGATGACCCAGTGGTTAAGAACACTGACTGTTCTTGCAGAATACCCAGGTTCAAATCCCAGCACCCACATGGCCACTAACAACTATCCGTAACTCCAGTTCCAGGGGATCCAACAGTCTCTTCTGTCCTCTGCGAGCATTGCATGACATCGGTGCACTTACCTACATGCAGGCAATACATGCACACACATAAAATAAAAATATTTTTTAAATATATGAAAGCCTAGCTAAAGACTTGGTTTTAGTCAACATAGGTTTAGTGGGTATTTTAAATGTTTTCTGTTTTTAATTGATACATATTACACTTCTTATGGAGGGCATAATGTGTAAAGATTATATTGGATTAGTTAGCATTTATCATTTCTTTGTATTGAGAACTTATAAAATCATCTCTGTTAGCTACTTTGAAATGTCCAATTAATTACTGTTAACCATAGTTATCCAATTGTGTTATACTTTGGAGTTACTACTTCCACATAACTATGTTTCCATTCAGTTACCGGTCCTCTGTCCATCTCTTCCTCCTTAGACCCTGCCTAATGTCTATTAGCCAGTATTCTAAATAATTTTTTAATTACATATTTTCAAATAAGAAATCTTAGTGCTATAGTGTCAAAAACCTGGGGATTCAGACTTGAATAAGTTATCTATCATAGTAATGTTCGTCATTTGTCTTCTCTGTTGGAAATAAGAACACATGCAGCACTAGGAAAAGTTCTTGGTACAAATTAAGCACAGACTAAATATTAGTCCTTGTTACTGTTTATTATCCCATTGACTTGGGTAATTATATGTGTTTGCTGATCAGAATAGGTAAGGTTATACGTCTAATTAGTTTAAGTTAATCTTCCCTTTAATTGGAATTTTAAGTTGCTTTCTTTTTTTAGCATGTTAATATTTTGTAGGTACAAGCAATTAAACTTCTGGTAAGGTGGCTGTTGGGTATGAAAAACAACCAGTCTAAATCTGCCAACTCAACTCTTCGGTTATTGTCAGCGATGTTGGTTAGTGAGGGTGACCTGACAGAACAAAAGAGGATCAGGTGAGATTCTTCTTTCTAGTTTCCTTACCCCAAGGTCTGGTAAGAGCTTGTATAGAATTATTTAATGCTCATTATTACATGCTTTGGGTCAAATCTTATGTACCTAGGGTTTATATGTTTTTCTTCATTAATTATAACCAGTGCAGCATTAGTTAACATCCACATTTGGTTCAATTATGTAAGAATTGTTGAATTTCTACTCTTTGCAAAACACTTTGAGAAATATTGTAGCAAAAACAGGTTATCTCTGCCTTCAGACTACTTGCACTGTAGTAAAGTGGTTGAACAAGTGAAATGATTTAGGACCCTAAAAAAGATACACCTTTAATGTTGGCTCATAAAATGAAGAGAAGCGTCTGGTGATTTCCAGGAAGGTCTACAGATTTTAAAAATAAATAATAAATAAATAAATAAATAAGGGGCTGGAGAGATGGCATATCAGTTAAGAACACTGAATGTTCTTGCAGAAGACCTGGGTTCGAATCCCAGTACCCACATGGCAGCTAACAGCTGTCTGTAACTCTAATTCCAGAGGATCCAGTGCTTTCTTCTGACCTCCTTGGACATGGCACGACACGGGTGCACTTCCATATATGCAAGCAATACACATAGACACAAACACATAAAATAAAAATAAATAAAATATTAAAAATAAATAAATGGAAAATTAATTTTCATGCTTCAATTTATTGAAATGTCTTTTTGTTCTTTCTGAATTTTTATGTATTTGTATTTTATGTTTATGAGTGTTTTGCCTGCATGTGTGTAAGGGCACCATGTGTATATATGATGCTTACGTAGGCCAGAAGAGGGCATCATATCTCCTGAAACTGGATTGAAAGCTGAGCCTGGGTTTTCTGCAAGAGTAGAAAGTGCTCTTAACCCTTGAGCCATTTCTCCAGCCCTTCTTTCTCTTCCTTTTTATGTGAAGAAATTTTGAAGTCCCCTGTTTTGTTCAAATACTTGATGTACTAGAGGTCAAGAGCACCAACAGAGATAAAGATTTCTACTTGTGACACATTTCTACTTTAAAATTTATGGTAGGGAACAGAAGTTTTATTATTCAGTATTTATTGGGCACTGTTAGATACTAGATACTGCTGTGTTATAAAGATAACAAAAATTTCTCCCTCGAGAGTACAAAATAAGATTTTTGTATATATTTGTAATATACATATAGATAATATAGATGCACTAGATGATGTTTACTGTTTAGATAAATTGAAGTGATACAAAACTTTCAGAATAAGGTATCAATAGCCTTTTGTCAACAAAATGATTAGAGCTGAATTGGCAATAATGAGAAGTTTGTATTTGGCATTACTGTATAGTGTACTGAAAAGCATCATATCGAGATCTTAAAAATTAGTGATACATAGGCAAGACTATTATCAGTTGACCTGGAAAGAAACATTTAACAGTACCGTAGGTAGCTAATGCAATTTAAACTTAATACTCTCTTTCCCTAACAAATTGGAAAGAAAAATTTGGGGGGTTTGTCTTGAGACAGGGTCTCCCTGTAGCCCCACCTGGCCTAACCTGGAACTCGCTATGTAGACCACACTGACCTTGAACTCACAGAGATCTGCCTGCCTCTGCCTTCCGAGTGCCAGGATTAAAGTCTGTGCCACCTTGCCTGGCAGGAAAAATTTTTTTTTATTTTAAGAAATTTTTCTCAGTGGAATTGGGAAAATGGGTTCTGGTCTTTTTCTTCTATGAGTTGATACTGTCTTTGCAGGACTTTTAGGCATTTCATATCTGATCCTAAAATACGTTCTTATTCTTTGATTCGTTACTTTCACATTCATGAAATAAATAATAATGCAAAAATATACTTAGAGCTGGGTGTGGTAACTCAAGCCTTTAATCCTAGCACAGGCAGAGGCAGACAGATCTCTGTGAGATCAAGGCCATCCTGGTCTACATAGTGAGTTCTAAGCCAGCTGAAGGTACAGGGAAACACTGTTTCAAGAAGCATATACACATTTTTATTTATATATATATATATGTAAATGTATGTATTCTCTTATACATTATTTACCACTAAAAATAAGGGAGTGATTAACTGTGGAATGCGAGTCATGGACTATTTTTGTCTTTTTGAGACAGGGTCTCCCTGTAGCCCGAGCTGTCCTGTAACTCACTATGTAGACCAAGCTGGCCTTGAACTCACAGAGATCCCCCTGCCTCTGCCTCCCAAGTGCTGGGACTACAGGCATACACCACCATGCCCGGCAATATTTATTATTTTTATTTTATGTGTGTGAGTGTATTGCCTACAGTAAGTACACCTGTGTCATGCAGTGCCTACAGAGGTTAGAAAAGGGTGTTGGATACCCTGGAACTAGAGTTAGGGACTGTTATTAGCCGCCATGTGGGTGTTGGGAACCAAACCTGGTTCTTCTGCAAGAGCAGCCAGTGCTCTTAACCACTGAGCCATCTCCCCAGCCCCTGACTACTTGATCTTGGATGATAGAATGGTGTTTGCTTGGGCTCCAGAATTATAAATGTATATATCTCTACACTCCATTTATTAGTTATATTAATGTATATAAAGCTGTTAACTTTTCTAAAGGAGTCTCAAAAATCTTGTAGAGTGCAAATTAAATGGCATAAAGTTCATTTTCCCAACTTATACAATGAATATTAATATGTAGAGTATTTCACACACTGCCTGGCACAGAGCAGGCACTCAAATTTGAATAGCCATTTTCCATTCCTGATTTAATCTGCTACAAAAACCATTTCAGAATCCCTCGTGGTTAATGCTTACTGTTGCAGTTCTGTTCTCTAAGCAAGCCACGTTTTCTCTTCTGAAATGCCAAGCAAAAGTCAGTAGTCTTCAAATAAAAGGGCATGCTCAGGCAAGATGTGATGGCACACATCTTTAATCCCAGCACTTGGGAGCAGGCCTCTGAGTTTCAGACCAGCCTGGTCTACATAGCAAGTTATAAGCCAGCCATCCTGTCTTGAAAAAAGAAAAAAAGCTGGGCATGGTAGCCCACACCTTTTATCCTAGCACTTGGGAGGCAGAGGCAGGTGGATCTCTTGAGTTTGAGACCAGCCTGGTCTACATAGTTCCAGGCCAGGTGGTGCTACAGGGTGACCCTGTCTCAAAAAGACCAAAGAAAAAAAAGTAAAAGAAAAAAGGAACCAGGCGTGGTGGCGCATGCCTTTACTCCAACACTCGGGAGGCAGAGGCAAGCGGGTCTCTGAGTTCAAGGTCTCTGGTCCACATAGTGAGTTCCAGAACAGCTGGGGCTGCAGGAAGACCCTGTCTCAAAAAGACCAAAAAAATAGGAAAGAAAAGAAAAAAGGAAGGGAGGAAGTCTACATTTTCTACATTTAACCCTTGATGTCATGTAAGCCAGCAGGGTGAGGGTTCCACCTAGGCTCCCTTCAAAAGTTTCACTTTCACCAAGCTTGGTGGTGCACACCTTTAATCCCAGCAGAGGCAGGGAAAGGAGTCTGTGTGGGGCTACAGGGAGGCCCTTTCTCAAAAAGATCAAAAAATAAATTTTCATCTTGTGAAAGGAAGTTGACCCCAGGGACTAATACTGAGATGTACACTGGCTCTAATCTCTTTATCTTTTCCTGGAAATATTTGAATGATACCTCTTCACTCATAATTTTCTTGTTGCCAATCATCAAACATACAGCATTAATTCTAGTTCTGTGTGTATAAATGCATATTTATTTAATGCAAGTTTTCACAGTATGCATTTTGATTAGAATAAAGTAGAATCAATTGGGTAGTGATGGATTCAAGGTAGAGAATGACTTAGAAATAAAGATCAATTTATTATCAGAAAACCAGTGTTTGAGCCTTTTCATTGTGTAGAGTTCATTGACACAAAGTAACTTGCCTGTATCTGTAGATTATATTATTTTAAGTATATTATCTACTATCAGTCTTCAACGCAAAAAGGAATCAAACATTTTTGTGTGTAATAATGGTTATAGGAAATGTTTTTCTTTTTTGTTTGTTTATAGTAAATCTGATATGTCTCGCTTGCGATTAGCTGCTGGTAGTGCCATAATGAAGCTTGCTCAGGAACCTTGCTACCATGAAATTATTACCCCAGAACAGTTTCAGCTCTGTGCACTTGTTATTAATGTAAGTAATAACCTCATTTCATATGTTTCTTTCCAAAGTTGACTCCATTTACTTTTCTGAGTAAAGACCTACTTTATATATGAACATACAAAAGAGATTGCTGTTGTTCCCTATTAAAATGTCTTCCAAATAGTAAATTATTTATTACTCTAGTCTGTCTTTCTGGGGGGAGGATGTCTTTTGAGACAGAGTCTCCCTATAGCCCCAGGAACTCACTATGTAGACCAGGCTGTCCTGGAACTCACAGAGAGCCACCTGCCTCTGCCACCCCTGAATGCTGAGATTAAAGGCGTGCGCCACCGGCTTAGTATGACTTTTTAAAAATATTTAACCTTTTTTGTTTTCTTTTGTTCTGTAAATGTTTGCCCATTCATGTACTTTTGTTTCTGTGCTGATATAGGATGAATGTTACCAAGTAAGGCAAATATTTGCTCAGAAGCTGCATAAGGCACTTGTAAAGTTACTCCTCCCATTGGAGTATATGGCTATCTTTGCCTTGTGTGCCAAAGATCCTGTGAAGGAAAGAAGAGCACATGCACGACAGTGTTTACTGAAGAACATCAGTATACGCAGGGAATACATAAAACAGAACCCTATGGCTACTGGTATGTACCTGATAGTTCCCAGTTGTGCTCATGTGTTTTCTTAGTATGCGTAGGAGGGGCACTCACATTTCCATTTCATTTGTAACAAAACAGGTAACTTTATAGAATATTGTCATTGCAGTTGTAATATACTTTAAAACTGAAATCTTTTATTCTGAGTCCCATTTATTTATGCCACATAAGATTGGGGGTAACTGCATTTTATTATGAAATCAGCAGATGTCAGAGTATATACATTTTTTTTCCTGGCTTGTCCATTGTCTGCTATACAATTTGTTTTAATTTGGCTTTAATTAAAACTAAAGTAAATATTTCATTATCATCTAGGAACATGTTACCTCTGATTTGTAAATAACTGAGGATCAAAAATGAAAACCAAGCCAGGGTGTGGTAGTACACACCTGTAGTCCCAGTACTTGGGAGGCAGAGGCAGGCGTATCTCTGTGAGTTCAAGGCCAGCCTGGTCTACATAATGAGCTCCAGGCCAGCTGGGGCTAAAGGGAAACCCTGTAAATAAAATAAAATAAATAAAATTTAAAAAAATAAAATTAAATTAAAATTAAAATAAAAATAAAAAAAAAAGAAACCAAAATGGTTTGAACTCAAACATAGGAAGGGATTTACAAAAACTATTATTGTTAATAATGTTTTCATTTTAGAGAAATTATTATCACTGTTGCCTGAATATGTAGTTCCATACATGATTCACCTGCTAGCCCATGATCCTGATTTTACAAGATCACAAGATGTTGATCAGCTTCGTGACATCAAAGAGTAAGTCATGTTTTTCATGAATTCTACAAATTATGTTTACTTTTCAGATTTTTTCCTATTATTCTCATTGGAATTTTTATTATTCTGTGGTTTTGTTAATTTATTTTAATTGTAAGCTTTTTTTTTTTTTTTTTTTTTTTTTTTTAAAAAAAAAATCCCTGTAGCCCGAGCTGTCCTGTAACTCACTATGTAGACCAGTCTGGCCTTGAACTCACAGAGATCCACCTGCCTTTGCCTCCCAAGTACTGGGACTACAGGTGTGCGCCACCAAACCCGGCTTTAATTGTAAGCTTTTAAAACAAGCTTTCAAAACTATTCCTGTCCAGCCAGTCCTTTCTTATTCTTTTGATTGTTTCTTATTTGTTGGTAGTTAGCTTTTTGAATTAGGAATCTGTATGCTTAGGGTCATGTTCAAATCTGTATTCCTAAGGTCATCTTCAAAGCCTCTCTCTCTCTCTCTCTCTCTCTCTCTCATCACACATGCACACACACATATACACACACATACCTCTCCATAAAAGTAATCTTATGGTGGCTGCAGAAATGCTTCAGCAGTTAAGAGCACTCCTCTTGCAGAGGAGCCAGGTTTAATTCCCAGCACCCCTTTGGCTGCTTATAGCCATCTGTAACGCTTAATTTCAGAGGATCTGGTGCCCTCTTCTGGCTTTCTCAGGAATTGTATGCGAATTGTGCACTTACATATACAAATTTTTAAAAATATTTTGTTTATTATTTTTATTTTATGTGTATGCATATATTGCCTGCATGTAGGTAAGTGCACCCATGTCGTGCAGTGCCCACAGAGGACAAAAGAGGCTGTCGGATCCCCCAGAACTGGCGTTACAAACAGTTGTTAGCTGCCGTGTGGGTGCTGGGATTTGAACAGCCAGTGTTCTTAACCACTGAGACATCTCTCCAGCTCCCATATATAATTTTTTTTTTTTTTTAGTTTTTAAAGTAATCTTTAGGGCTGGGGTTATGGCTCAGTTAGTAACATGCACAAAGCTCTGGATTTAATCCCCAGCCCCCCACATAAGTCAATCATGGTGGCATATACCTGTAAATTCAGCACTTGGAAGTGGAAACAGTTGGTCAAGGTCATCCTCAGCTACATAGCAGTTAGATGTCAGTCTTGGATACGTGAGACCGTATCTCAGAAATCCAGAAGAGATAAAAAGTAACCTTTACATGTATCCTAAAACAATAATATCCAAAAAACGTGCTCTTACGTGAAATATTCTGGGGCAAGTTTACAATTATAACACATTTAAGGTATTATTTATATAAATTAGAATTTTGTGTGTGATGTAGGATGAAAGAATTAAGAGGCTGAGAAATCTCTACAAAGACCTCTAAGAAACTTTGAAGCTATACTTTCCCTGTTGCATGTTTTTATTTTGTTTGTTTGTGGTTTTTGTTTGGCCCTGGTGCACTGGAACTCACTATGTAGGTGAGGCTGGCCTCTATCTCACAGAGATCTGCATGCCTCTGCTTCTGGAATGCTTGGGTTAAAAGCATGCGCCACCATGCCTAGCTCTCTATTGTGCCCTTAAATTAGCACCATCAGCTTGTGTTTAAAGTATTACAGTTTTTCTGTGTGACTCATTAAGTTTTATTCCTAATTAATTCCTTATTAAAGACTCAACATTTATCTCTATCTCCTATAGCTTTGGCCATTAAAATGGTGTCAAAATCTTAACAATTGAAAGAGATGTTGTATACTTTCCAGTATTGCTTTTTTTTTTGGTCTTTTTGAGACAGGGTCTCCCTGTAGCCCCAGCTTTCCTGGAACTCACTATGTAGATCAGGTTGGCCTTGAACTCACAGACATCTGCCTGCCTCTGCCTCCCGAGTGCTGGGAATAAAGACGTGCGCCACCACACCCAGCCCAGCATTACTTTTTCATAGCTTTGGGCTATGAACTTATATTTTGAAGGCCTGTTATTCTGCTGTTCCAATATATCATTACAGTGATGCTGCCTTTTATATATCAATTTTTTTCTATATTTTTTTACATAGTCATTTTTTTAAAATTTTTAATAACTATATGATTAGAAGAAGCATTTCATTACAGCTTTAACATATTCAGTAACACACTCCAGAGCAAGAATACATCTCTTTCGCAAGTGGCTGTAAATTTTTAGGTTCACAGTTGAGTTAATACAGTTATACAATATTGGACTCAGTATAAACCCTGTAAGACATAAAATTGAATGGGTTTTTAACCTTTAAAAAAGATCTCCATTTCATTGTAGAATATATTGTTCCTTGTAGAAAGATTCATTGTTTTTGCTACCAACACTGAGGTGTTGGTGCATGCATCTCTCATCTGTATGTATCTATTACTAGTCATAATCGGTTGCACTTGGATCCTTGGCTTGAGGCCTATAATAATTTGGTCAGAGGGACATAAAGGACAGGTTTTGCTCCTTTCCCTCCTAGGTTGACTAGTTCCAGGGGGCCTGTGGAACATCTATCAAAATGTCCTGTAAATATGGTGAGTTACCTGTCCTCTTGTTCAGGGAGGCCATGGAGACCCCACATGATGGACTTGAACTAGTGTCCAGTCTACAAAGAGGAGGGTCAATCAGAGGAAACATCTCATTCATGCTTCCATGTGAATCCAGAGCAGGACCTTTGACTTATCTTCACATAGATGGAACTGGT